AAGAAGAAGAAGAAGAAGAAGAAGAAGAAGAAGAAGAAGAAGAAGAAGAAGAAAAGACAAAACGTACAGATGCAAACACTAGAAAAACACAACACCTATACAAGCAAAATTTGTATCTCTGTCTGTTCCCTCCTACCAACTCATCTTAGCCCAGTAGTTTAGGTACTAATACTGACAAAATCACCACCATAGTATGAGACTTCGTGCAAACTTTCGAAACCTTTGGTGACACTGTAAAGATGACTCCACTAGGGAGCGGGACAGAGGGTGCCCACCTAGTGACTCGAAAGAGACGAGAAATGTACTTACCAGTTGTGGTAGCCATCTCCAGGTGGACTATGGCAACACTTAGATGTGTAACTTACCATAAAACGTTATAAGAGTGGAGAAACATATGTATTTACTTATTTATTCATGTATTTATTTATAAGTAAAACATTTTCCTGTGCGTGTACTGTAAGACTAACAGCTAATTTCAAAACCCAAAATGCTGCACAGTTAGTTGTTATTACTAAACACAAAAGCGCCAGATGATAGAATTGGGCAGGGTAAAAAAAAAAATTAAAATAATAATAATAGTTTTTCCAATCAAATGTACACATAAGAAATACAAATGCCACATAGCAAGTTCAAATGTCACATAGAAAGTTTCACGCCACATAGAAAGTTCAAATGTTCAATAGGAAATTTTAGTGCACGATTGTGCGTAACAAGTCCAAATGTACAAATAGCAAATCCAAATGTAACACAATAGCCAGTTCAAATGCCACATAGCAAAAGCAAATATCCTCCACAAGGATTATTCAGCGTGAAAAGCATTTTGATGTGCTTAAACTGAGTTGACGACAACCATAAGCGGTTTAAATCTAAGGTGAATTGATCACCATTAAAAATATCCCGAGGATGGTCCTGTGGAAAGAAATTCAGATAGGACTGAAGCCAGTAGACATCAATATGCAGCATGGCTGATGCAGAACATTTAGCGGTATGAATTTGCCTTCATCGATGAGGCTGGTATCAAGAGAAACTGATGAAGAGCATAGAGTGTTCAATGCTTTGTTCGAGTAATGCAGGGTCGAAGGGGACCGAACCGCACGATGCCATAGGCGCCTTTCAGTGACGAGGGTGGCCTGGTCTTTCACGACTTTCAAGTAGATGGAATGGCAGCTTTCGTTTCAACCCATCTCTCTAAGAAACTGTTCCAACAAACCCAACAACGAAGTATGCTTTGTATGTAACAACGCTCGTGCACCAAGGCAGGCTTTAAATGGTAACTCATCAATAGATTGGGAAAGAAATATTTATCCCCCTACACACCTTTTCTTAACATCTACGAGAACGCTTGTGAATTTGGAAATACGATTTGAAACCGTGGCTCCGTGAAGCAAAAGACCAAGTGCTCCCTCAGCTGACTCACCAACAAAGGATGGTCACACTTGCCCAGACGATGGAGCAAAAAACACAAACTGTGACTATAGTGAAAATGGCAGCAGCCTTTAGATCAATGCAAGCATATAAGCCATAGCGTTTTGTAGAGCAACAATAAGTAAATAAAAGTAAACTTGGCTTTAGATTTCACTCAGTCAGTTAGTTCTATAATATACCAGAATTTTGTTGATATGTATCATAACCATTCGTTTCTGTTTTAACCTGTGGGTTTATTTTCGGTGAACAGCGTCGTTTCCCATGATTTCTTCCACACGGCTTACGTATAACCTTTTCTTGGCCAAAAAAAACCAAACCTTTTATTTCTTACCTTGATACTCCTCTTACACGTTTAGCCTCCTTTTTAGTTTTAGCAAAAGTTTTACGGCACTCGCAACGCAATAAGCTCATACTAGTGCCGAAGATTAGTGGTTTTACAAGAGAGTGACAGGCACAAAAAATGAAAGGAATGAAACATCTATCGTCCTTATCTTCCCTCCTTCTTTTTATGTTTGTTACTCTCTTGTAA